GTTCAATTTTCATAATGAGTATGCAAGATGTTATTGAAATATCAATGATCCTCGGGCATGAAGAACTCAGTAAAAATACTCTCCTCTTGAGCACATTGCGGTCATGTATGCAAAAACTAAATTACAAGGATGACAATTAAATAAAATTCGCAAATCAATATTTCGCCTACCTCACGAATAATAAATGCGTTCCTCATCAGGCCGAATTTCTACCACAATTTTTATCACTTAGAATCAACTATTACCATTCCCGCAAGAAAAAAAAATTGTAAGAAATATGTGAAAGTCAATTTCACTGAATTTCCAAAATACATAAGAAATTCCATAAACGATTTCATCTCATGTTGAATTGAAATTCGAAATATAACAAATTCAAGTTCAGCCGTTACGTCAATTTTAAAATATTTCCAATATTGTTATCCTTTTTAATAAAAAATCCAGTGTAACGTTTTTTGAAGCCAATCTATTCGGCGTATTGTGCCATTAGAATATATGTATATATACATAATATATACTTTAGGAATGGTATTGTAAGAAAATAATGTCAATCAAGTTATGTCATATTTATGCTATTGTATAATTCTACGGAATATATTATTATGATGGCTAACACGTTGACAAAATGATCCATCAAATTTTCCTCAGCTACAAAGTTAAACATAGTGTAATATTCAATTACGTTCTAATATCTCATTCAATTCAATGTGTATACACCATCGAAGAATTCAAAATAAATAAATGTAATGTAGCTTAGGCCCCATGGAGTAGGATATTCGCGCGCGGAGCGCGCGAACAAATCCAGTTGACATAAAATCACTTGAAATCAACTGTTACAATTTCCTTAAAAGAAATAGGAGAGAACATAAAATTGAGTTTTACCGAATTTCCAAAATGCACGAGAAATGAAAAATTGGAATGCATCTATTACGTAAATTAAAAAAAATTCAAACAGCGTGGAGAATTATTGAACGAAGAAAACTAGAGGGGTATTAATAAAAACGGATATTCTTAGATTGGCAGTTGAAGAGTAGAGTCGGTCAATAACTTTTACCATCGATGGATTTACCAAGGACTTGGTGTATTCTATAGGCGTCTACAATCGAGGACAAGATGATGATTTGTTAGTTATTTTAAATGAAACATGAGGATAAAATTAGCTCAGGCACATAAATTCAACGGGATTATGGAAATCTCGCCAGGTGTTTTCGATATTTTCGGGGAGAAATCGATATAGGAGTGAAAATAGTATTGATATTTAATGTCAAAGGGCGTTCTACCTGGAAAAAATTTGTTCAATGTCAAATTGAGTGATCTATGTGCTCGAGGAATGAACAATTGATCTGAACTTGGAGAATAGTTGAGGCTTTCCGAGTTCATCTCCCCGGACATCCTTAATGTTGGCGAATGCCCCGTAACATTTGAATACTAGTAGAGACGACAGAAAAATCGTTTCGTCACAGCTCGTGATATCCCCATCAAGGATTTGCCAAAACCAGAATCCCGAGGAGACCGGTGAGATGTTGAAAAAAAGGGTAAGAAGCCGGATTCGGTTCTATCCTTGAGCTAGTCTTCAATGCGTCTTACACCCAATAACACCACTGGGTACAAGTATACATCACATGACGACAGGTGCAAGGATATTAACGCAAAATGATTACACGTTTGCGTCAATTTGACCCGCATCATTTGGCATTCAGTAACATAATGGGTGACGACATTTCAGTAATTGGAATATGCTTTTTCGAGTCATCGGACTGAAGTCATTCAATCTGATGACGTGGTTGTTCAGACGGTGGGGGTTTGCATCGGATTTTTTATTGCGGAATATGAAGATTATTATATAAAATGAATTAAATTATTATTAAATATAATGAAGCATTCGTAAGTTGAAAAGGAGTTACATGAGGTTGGAAAAATATTAAAGTTTCAGATTTCACTGATTATTTTTCTTACTCGGATTTCAGCCAATCAGAGCGTAGTGTTTGAGGCTGTCAGTTTTATTTCGGAAATTTCTAAAAAAATTCCGACGGAAATTCACCAGTAGCTTTTCAAATGTTTCTCATCTTTCAACGCATTTCACTTTCATATTCGGTGTGAAAGATAAACAAAAAGTGGGTTGTAAATGTATGGCTGTGTAAATGTATCCGGATGCTGTTCACTGCACTCTGCTTGGCCGAAATCCAAATGAAAAAATAGTCCGTCAAATACCACTCGTACTTCAAAATTAATCGGATATTTTCCTCAAGCTTCCCTGCCTAGGAACGAGTGTGTCAAATTTTGCAGAAAAAACAGATTTTAAACCTGCAAAATTTGACACAATCGTTCCTAGGCAACGAAGCTATCGGAAAATATCCGATAATTCTGAAGCAATAGTGGTATTACTACTGAAAATTCAACAATTTCTAAATAATTGGAAATTGAATTGGAAATTCAAAAACACATTTACTGGAATTCTCATGACTTTTATTTATTTTTATGGAATAATTGAAATAAAATTTACAGTTTTCATCAGTTTTTCCAGAAAATGCTGAATTTTCAAGCGTGAAATTCCGTAAAATTCCAATGAAAATTTCCGAGAAATGTACCGAAAGTTTCAGCCAAAATTTTTTAATTAAAAAAATTTATATTCAGGCTTCTTCCGTAAAAGTTCTTGCGCGAGAATTTTCTTTTTTTCTTGGACTTTTATCCTGGAAAACAATTAAAACGCAGCGCAATAAATTTTTCAAAATTTAGTTCCAAAAATTTCTATAAAAAAATAGAAATGTACAGATTTTTCTCTACCAAATACTTATTAAAAAATGATATGATGAAGCTGCATAAATTTCAATAGAATTGCTGCAAAAAACCAATAGAATTATTCAAGCGAACTTCAACAGAATTTCAATAGAATTTCTCAAATTTTTTCTCTCAAATCTTCGTAATTTTTCATCACTTCTGACTGAAAAAAAAATGCATCCAATATTTTTCAAAAAATTCGCGTATTTAACTGTTTTATTTATCAAAAAATGGAGATGTTAAATGAAGCGACTCGGTTTCAGACAAACTTGCCACGAAATAATTTCCATTTTTTATCGGTAATAAAATACCGACTTGCAGGTGAGCAATTGTTGCGTCACTGTATCATACGGCTTTATTTTTGTTTTCCACGTTTGAATGTATTCGATGCGACTTCCGGGTTCGGATTTATGCTGATTCGCGGGAAAAGTAAACGTCCGAATCATCGGCAGATCGAATATTTCGATAAATCTACCGGTTTTTCGTTTCATGGAGTTCTCGCGAGGATGGCACTAATTTGCCGTTTGATTTAACACATTTTTTCTTCTTCTTCCAACGATTATACGTGTAATCATCGTATCCTCGTTGCGAGGCAGCATTTAGCGGAGATGTATATGATTTTTGAATGACTAGTAACAGCGGTTACCACTGAATCTACTTTGTTGGGAATTGTAAAACTTCAGGTGTTACTTTCCAATTTATTCAGGAAAAAACTCATTGGGATGAACCCGATAAAAATAATAATGTATTGATTTTTTTATATCGAAAAAAATTGATAAGAAATGTGAAGTTTTAAATAATTCGAGTTTCATTTTGTGTTTCAATTAAAAAATTCTCTAGATTTTTTCTTATTCGTACAAAACAATTTGAGGGGACAACAATTTAGAGCATTAGATTAAAATTTCTTTTTAAATTGTATTAGAATTCTATTAAAAATCTAGAGGCGAGTGGGGCAGTATGAAACAGTCGAAAAAACACTGTTTGACACAATTCAAGCAAACAAAATTGTTTTTATTAAATATTTTCGTTTATCACCTTTTGTTTATCAACTTTTTTTTATTCTTCCTAGTACTGATGAGAATGATAATTTTCTCTTCAGGAGAATGGAAAATTATTACTCTCATCAGTACTCCCAATAATAAAAAAAGTTAATAAACAAAAGTTATAATAAGAAATTTTTTTTTGCTTCAATTGCGTCAAATGGTTGTTTTTCGGGTGTTTCATTTTGCCCCACTCTCCCCTATTGGAAATTGTATTCCTTTTTTTCGACGTCTAAGAATAAATCACTATTTTTCCGCACAATTTTTAGGGAAATATTCATAAAAAATATGAATGGATTCCAATTTTTTAATTTAATTTCTTCAATTGGTATTTTTTTCTATAAAAAAAGCATCTGAGGATAAATTCCATAAGTTTTTAGTCAATTTTTTGTGTCGAGCATTGCAAAATTTAAGAGAAAAAAAAAACCTTGAAAATTCCCAAGTATTTTATAGAGTATCAAGAGAATATTTTGTATAACAAAAACTCATAAAGTTTTCAATACAATTATAAGAGAACTCCAATAGAATTTCTTAGTGAAAACATATTTGAGAGGAAAAAAGCAAAATTTGAGAGAAAAAAACGTCGAAAATTCCCAAGTATTTTATAGAGAGAATATCAAGAGAATATTTTGTATAACAAAAACTCATAAAGTTTTCAATACAATTATAAGAAAACTCCAATAGAATTTCTTAAGGACAGGATCTTCGAGAGAAAAAAGGCAAAATTTGAGAGAAAAAAAGATGAAAATTACCAAGTATTTTATAGAGAGAATATCAAGAGAATATTTTGTATAAAAAAACTCATAGAGTTTTCAATACAATTATAAGAGAACTCCAATAGAATTTCTTAAGGACAGGATCTTCGAGAGAAAAAAGGCAAAATTTGAGAGAAAAAAAAGATGAAAATTCCCAAGTATTATAGAAAGACTATCAACAGAATATTCTATATAAAAAAAACTCAGAGTTTTCAATACAATTATAAAACACCTCCAATAGAATTTCTTAGAGAAAGCGCCTGTGAAGGAGTCCTCCACGTCATTCATAAAAAAATAATTGAAATTGTCAACTTTTTCAATTATTTATGACAATTGGCGCCTCGTCCACCACCGAAGATTGTGGATCCCCCTTGAATGCCTGTCATGGCAGCGCCCATGTGCAAGGAAGAGATAAAAAAGAAGAGATCTGGCGACTGGACAGCTGATGAACTGACTAGCGTTGTGATAATCGTTCATTTGTCACAAGGTTGTTCCATTCCAACTATTTCCACTCGATGTTCCAGGAACGTGGGGTGTCGAAGGGTCTATTAAAAATCCTATAGAGTGTGAATAGGAAAAAGCGCACTCACTTTCACCTACAACACCGTTGCATTCTCCGCTGTGGGCAATACCAAGGAAGTAAGGATACAATAATTCATTATTCAAATCTAATTACTGAATTCTCATTAATATTACTCGGGAATAGTTCAATTTTTTTCTAATAATTTTGAGGTCTTCTTCGTGATTTTGGAGAACATATCGGCGAAGTAAATATTAAGAAAGGACAAGCAGAATAATTATTACAGAAATTATTACAACATTTACCGGAATATTTTCTAATTTGAATGAAAGTATGATTAGAATTACTTCCTAATTTCAGTAAAAATGTCGGCTACAAGATTCTCCGGAATTGAAATGGGTCCGCCCATTGAAATTTTCGCCCTGAATAAAAAATTCTTGGAAGACAACTTCGAGAAGAAAGTCAATTTAACAATCGGTGGTAAGTTTCTATTTAAAAAAAATACAAATATTGCATTCATCTTCCCATATTTTATGTTAAATGTCAATTTAGAAATTGAGAGATTTCCCAATTAATGAAGATGAATGCAATTGGGGTGTCTGTTGAGTTTGCGCCTGAATTTTTCCCCAGCTGAAAAATAACTCTAATTTTTCCCGATGAAATTGACCTTATTCAACACTCGATGAAAATAACGCGAGTGTGTTATGTAAATCACATGACTGATGATGCAATGGGGTGCGCTAGTAATCTCCAGCGTTGTATACACCGTTGTAGATACAGCCTGTTTTCACTATTGAATTTGAAAGAGTGGTATTTTATATTGGCGAGCAATTGTGTCTTTGATATGGAATCTATTTTTTTATTGCTGTTGCACTCGGATCGCTCTTATCTGTTCTTGAGGATAGATAATCTTTATGGAAATGTCTTATTTATTGAATTTGCTGAGAAAAACAATTGAGCAGAAAATGATAGTGCATTCTTTACGAAATTATTGTAGTTTTTTGCAGAGAATATTCAATAGGAAAAAATTAAAAGAGTCCGGTTTTTCTGTGATACTTATTCTGTTGAGATTTCTCTATTGGAACTCCTCTTCATAATTTTTCCAAGGTTTTATCCTTCTGTTTTGTGATAGGACGCAAAGCATTATTATTTATTGTCTTTCGTGCATATTTTTTTTTAATACGAAAAAATTTATCATTTATTATTTATTCTATTGAATTTTTATTGAAAATGTAGAAGAATTCTCTCGCAGTTCTGTTAAAATTCGACTAATGCCATTGGTTTTTGTGTCAATTCTATTAAAGATTATGCAACTTTATCATGGAATTTTTGTTAAAAACTGGCTCTAGACTGGAATTGACTTAAATAGTTTGACCACTTCACTACTGAATTAACAATTCACAAATGAAAAAACTCGGTGGCGCACGGATTAGAACTCAGAAATGCATTATCTTGTATTCAGCATATCGTACGAACGAGGGAAAGCCCTGGGTTCTGCCAGTGGTGAAGAAAGTTGAGAGAAATCTCGCAGAAGATGAACTCCAGAATCACGAATATCTTCCTGTCCTCGGCCTGGACGCCCTCAGCCAGAACGCCGTTGAGATGCTCCTGGGGAAGAATTCTCAAGCGATTATCCAGGGAAGAGCCTTCGGTGTGCAATCGCTGTCGGGAACTGGGGCTCTTCGCGTTGGCGCCGAGTTCCTCTCCCGAATTCTCCGTTATGACACGTTTTACTACAGCAAACCAACCTGGGGTGAATAAAATTTCCACCAACAGCAAGCAATTGCTACAGCTGCAATAACAAAGATTGTGATGAATCCTTTGTTTTTGGTAGAGAATCATAAACTGATCTTCACGAATGCGGGATTCAAGAAGGGCTGTGAGTACAGGTACTGGGATCCAGTGAACCGCAGTGTGGACATCGAGGGGATGCTCGAGGACCTCAGCAATGCTCCCGAGAATTCTGTCATCATTCTCCACGCTTGTGCTCACAACCCCACGGGCTGTGATCCAACTGCTGAGCAGTGGGAGAAAATAGCTGATGTTATTGAGCGGAAGAAACTTTTCACGTTCTTTGATAGTGCTTATCAAGTAAGATGTGGTTATTTTACCAACTTATTACACTTTTTTATCGAATCTATTCAATTATTTGGGAGAATTCTGATTTATGGTTTAACAATTACTAAAAATTATTCATTTATTCATGTTTTTTGTTTGTAAAAAGGAGAAGGCAAAGGATTTATTATTTTACTATTTTTAGCTTTGCAATCGTTCAAATTTAAGTTTTTCTTTAATTGTTCGCTAATGAATGTAATTGAATCTTTTTTTTTTCAAGTTCGGCAGCATATTGCTAATTTATTGGCAAAAATAACTCGACTATATCCAATACAAGAGAAATTTTCTACTTGTTTTTTATATAAAGAAAAGAAATTGTCCATGTCATCGTGACGTATCATCTTGGCATTTTTCTTTGACATTTCATCGAGGGAATCTCCGTAAAATGAAAGTCCATCGAATTTTCGTATTCTCAGGGATTTGCAAGTGGTGATTTGGATCGTGATGCCTACGCAGTACGCCTCTTTGCAGAGCGTGGTATTGAGTTCCTCGGGGCCCAGAGTTTCGCCAAGAATTTCGGCCTCTACAACGAACGAGCTGGAAATTTGGCGGTGGTGATGAACAACGCGAAGGAGATAGCTCAAGTTAAATCTCAGTTGACTCTTATCGTTCGAGGGATGTACAGCAATCCACCTAATCATGGGGCACGAATTGTGGCTTCTGTTCTGGGGAATGCAGACCTCTATGAAGAATGGTAATCAAATTTATTCCACTTTATTTCATTGATCCAATGGGATGACATGATTTCAGTAGCGAAGCGGTAAACCGGGTTAAGTCAATTTTGACTTTTGGTCAGTATTTGATGGATATCTTGGAATCTAAGAGAGATCGCAAATTTTTTCTCATGACCTTTTTTATAACCCTTAATTGGCTCTACAAAAAAGGTCATAATAAACATTTTTCTATCTCTGTTAGATTCCGAGATATTCGTCGAAAACTGGACAATAGTCAAAATCGACTTAAACCGGTTTACCGCTTCGCTACTGATTTCGATTCATAGAATTTTGAATGATAGATCGATTATCAATTAGGAATCGTTAATTTGTTAATTCCTAGTTGAAAGTACGAAATATGAAATCTAAAAATTAAGTTTCTCCTCGAATTATCAATTGATTATTAATTAGGAATGATTAATTAATTAATTAATGAAATTTTCAAATTAAACAAATTTATTTAATTTAAATTTAATTTTCTCTTCGAATTTACATATCTAATTTGATTTCTATTTTTATGTATTATATCACTGATTGCTATCAATTAATTCCTTTTTGGTTTAAAGGAAAGATCATATTCGCATAATGGCTAACAGAATAATCAAGATGAGACAAGGATTATACGAGAGACTTATCAAGCTTGGAACTCCAGGAACATGGGAGCACATAACAAAACAGATCGGAATGTTTTCATACACTGGGCTGACAGGTAAACCCCCACTTTCATATCTTGAAAAAATTTAACAGAAAAATTCAACGCTTTCTCTGAGAAATTGCATTGATAATTACGAGACTTTGTCGTGGATTTTTCAATAGTTTAAAAGATAAAAATGGATAGATGTTGATTTTTCTGTATTACTTATTCCCCTGACATTTTTTCTGTTGAAATTCTTCTGCCCGAATTTCCTCATTTTTTTAATTCATAGAAAAAAATCATAAAGAAATAATTCAATTTTTAATTACTCAATTTATCGCTTAAGGTTTGATTAATTCATTAATGAATTCATTAATCCATTAACTCACTAATTGATATCAGTGGTATTTTTCTATTCTAAAATCAGCTAAAATAATTAATCCAATGGCATTTTACCCTTGATAAATTACTAAAGCATAAAAAATAATTTAAATTAGGGAAATCTACGCTTACGAATTCCCACAGAAAAAAAACTCAAGAATTCGATTTACTTTCAATTGATATTAATGGGTGTTTTTTATTTTCTCCTCTAATAAATCACCGTTCCTTAATCCTATGACATTTTACTCTTGATGAATTCATGAAACTGTCAGAATGATTAGAACGTGCGATCTGACGAGAAGTGAATGGTGATAGAAACAGGGACGATCTAGTCACATTCACCTTGAAATTTTCGATAGAATGCTAAAAAACTAATAGAGCTCTCACAAATTTCCAGAAGCAATTTACTGGAACTTTCAAAGAAACCTTCGGGTTTTTCTATCATTTTTTTTCTGACATGTTCCTCATTCAATGAACTCTCATTTAATAACTTAATTATTTCCCGTTTTCCAGAAATCCAAGTGGAACATCTGAGGAACCACTACCACATTTACATGGCTCGAAGTGGACGCATAAACATGTGCGGCCTCAACGATCGTAATATGGAGTACGTGGCGAATGCATTCCACGAAACAATCGTCTCACTACCAGACAATGAGAATAATTAATGATAATCTCACATGAGGAATCAATAATATTGTTTGAAATTCGACAAGTTTATACGTACGTTGAGTAGTTTTATATGGCTATCTCCGTGCTCTCGAGGACTCGCACGTACGAAAACTTTTCATAGAAAAATTTGGGCAATCAGCTTTAAAATTCGATTGGATTTCTATTCAACTTTTTTTGGCTGTGCATTTTTTTCAATGGAAATATTCAATGAAGATTGAATAATCTATGGGAAATTAAAGAATAAATAATGTATAGAAAAAAATGAGTAGAATTCGATTTTCGATGCAATTTATTCTATTGATATTTCCGCTGGAAATTCCTCGGCTCAAATTTTCCGAAGTTTTGTTTGATTTTTTTAATAAAAAAAGACGAAAAATAGTGGAAAAAAACTTGGAAAATTCATGTCAGGGAATTTCTATAGGGGAGGATGGGGTAGAATGGACACTTTAGACTTTTTTTTAATTACTCATAACTCAGAAAATTCTCAAATTTACTAATGGAGCTCAATTTAGGCTCATAACAAAGGGCAAGAATTGTTCTTTGCATTGAAAAAAAAATTATTAAATTTCATCACCATTTCAACCTGTCATTAACATTTTTAAAAAAGTCAAAAGTGTCCATTTTATCCCAAGCTCCCAATGTCTGAATAGAAAAAGTCGAGATTCTATTATTTTTTCTATAAAATCATTTCTATTGCAAATGTTCTATAAATTTCTATAAAAAAAAATTTTTTAATTCGATTTTTATATACAACTTATTTTACTGAGATATTTTCTGCAGAATTTCCTCGGCTCAAATTTTCCAAGTTTTTTTGTTGGATTTTCTTGATGAGAAGAAAAGGAAAACCAGGCGGAGATTATCACATACACACAAGGTGGTCAAACTTGGTATTTTTACGTTTCAAATCATTCTACATAAATTCCAAGTAAAATTAGAAAATCTAAAAATAGAACAATTACAATACTTTCATTCGAAAGCAATAGAATTAAAAAAAAAATACAATTAGAAAATTTGAGTTGAGGAAATTCTATAGAAGATATCTGACGAAAATAAGTTATGTATAGAGAAACCGAATTCTGTTGACCTTTTCTGTTCAATATTTTCTACTGAACATTTCAAGTTTTTCTATTAAATTTTTTCGTGCGTGACAGATTACCTAGAATACTAAAGAATAGGTAAAATGCAAAACGCAGGGTCAAACTTAGGAAATTAATACACGTGTCATTGATAACTATCTGTCCAAGAGAGATCATCAATCAGAAAATTCTCTCTGAATTTCTCCAGAAAACGTATCACAATAATGAGTACAAAACGTTGTTAGCAGATGTACTAAATCAGTAGAATGACCAATGATTTTATAAATGTGAATTAAACCTTGTAATACGTGTGCCAAAGAAAGTAGCATGTGAAGGCAATGTCAAGTCACCAGTAATGAAATTTTGTTTAGCCTATCTGTGAATACTAGAGATTGCATTTAGAAGAATGAACAAATTGTCGATGACAATTAGGATTGTACAACTAGTTCATAGGTGAATTCAATGTTTGACATCATTATTTTGGTGGAGTATGTTACCATAGTGAAATAAAATCATTTCGTTTAATCTTGAGATTCTTTTATTGCACCTCCTGGCAGCTTATGCCGAATGTTCTGAGGGTTGAAATGAAATATTATTTTACGTTGAGAATATTTTATTTTAATAAACTGACAAAATAGGAAAAACAGCAGGGGATATGCACCCTCTGTAGCTTCTGCTCTTTCTTGAGTTGATCGAGTGTTAAATTAGATGAACCAAAATTCACTGAAGAAGAATTCAATAAAATAATATAATTATAAATTCTAGAAAATAAAAATTTTATTTTATGTTGTGTATTTTATTGTGTGCATTTTGTGAAAAATAATGGAAAAGAATATTTTAATGAAAAAAAACATCATCAATTTCTCTCCAACTATTTAATATTTTATTATACCTCATAAATTACAGAAATCTCAGAATTAATCTGTGATTCCATCAGGCGTATGTACACATGAAGATAATGAATGATTTAATAATTCATGTATTCCATTTCGACTCTTTCTTTTTGAACGTCTCTTTGCCATCGGTTTCGAGAGCAGTGTAGAACCCCATGTCCTCATATTTCGATCGCATATAAAGGATGTAGCCAGAACATCCTGCAATTGCAGCCAGACCCAATGCCATTATAACTATATTCTGAAAATGAAAATTGACATTGACGATTTTCTTTCTCAATAGTGGAAATGGCTAATTTTTCGAGGAATATCTCAGAATCTACAGGAGATGGCGAAATTTTTGTAGTGACCTTTTTTATAGATCGAATTGAGAGCTACAATAAAGGTCGTGACAAAAATTTTGCTGTTTGCTTTAGATTCCGAGATATTCATTGAAAACTGAACAATAGTCAATGATTAATGATTTTTTTTGGGCTTTGTGAATTTATTTTTCCGCGTTACACTCAATGGCTCAACTGGAGTTTATTCGTACTACTTCAAGGTAGTAGAAACATAACTTGAATTCAGTGAAAACTGACCAATAGCCGAAATTCACGCACAAAAAAATTCAATAGAAAACCCAGCGAATTCGCTAGAAAATTCTGTTGGAATTCTATAGGAATTATATTGAAATTCTAATGAAAAAAAAAGAAATTTTGAATTTCTGTTTGGAATTTTCTCTTGAGATTTTTTTCATAAGAATGCTTGGGCATCAATTTTCTAAGTTTTTTCCACTTGAATTCTGTAGTACAAAATAAAACAAAATCCAGGGGAAAAAACTTAGAAAATTTGTGCCCAATAATTCTAATAAAAAAAATCTCAAGAGCAAAGTTCCAACAGAAATTCAAAATCTATTGACTTTTTCTTATTAAATATTCAATAGAATCAGCGCAAGAAACAAATAGAAGTTTTCAATAGAATTCTAATAGACATCTTATAGAATTCCTGTAGATTTCGTGTAGAATTCCTACAGAAGTTTTCTATTGAATTTTGTCATGTGTGTTGACTTGACCCGTTTTACCACTTCGCCACTGAACTTAACTTTAATTCAGTAAATTAATGGGTGAAGTTGATTTTTAGTGGATTGATATTACTGGTTTCACATAGAGTTCATAGTTGACAGCTCTGAAGAGCATCGTGCTCCTGAGGGAGCGGATGCCATCCCCAGGCGCTCCATTTGAATTTTTCTGGCTGGACGAGGAGTCGGTCTTATCAGCCATTCTACCCTTCCGGATTCAATTCTGAAAGGGAAATTATTATGTGTTAATTTTCATTGAGGTTATGTGCTCATGGTAAGAGCATAAAAAGTGTCAGAGAATTTCTTCTGAGTTTTAAAATAATTTTGGAGTAGTTTTTTGGTTCATCGTGAGTGATGAATTGAAATTTCAGAGAATTGTTTGATGATGTGAGTTGAGCTATTTGACGAAGGTATACATAATATAAATAAATACCTTGGAAGAAATTGGAGTCCATCCCGCCAATGGAGCCACGTGGTTGTGCCTGCGAAAGCAAATGTCAGTAGTTGAACGATTTTTTAATGAGTGCTCAGTGATTGTTGGATATTTTTATCTCAATTCGTTAATTTGGGATTTGATTTATAAAATGGAGCGAACGGCCGAGGATCTTATCGACAATTACTGTAGCGTTATATCTCAGGAGGCGAGAGGTTCGTTATATCAATAACATAGAGGAGCTCTATCTATTCCATGAGAATCAAGTGGAAGACAATTTGAAATAGTCACTCTAAGTTGATGTTTTTTTTTATTGGAGCATTCATTTATTCGTGTTTGTAAAATGGAAATTAATTAGTATTTTATTTTTCTATTGGAGTATTTCAGTGACTAAGAACTGAAGTTTATTTTTTGGGAAATTTTCAGCGACCATTTTCAAAAATTGTATATTCTTGAATCGCGATGTTCAAATATAGGGGCGGGTGGGGTAAAATGGACACTTTAGACTTTTTAAAAATTATTCATAACTCAGAAACAAATTTATTAATTAAGATCAGTTTAAGCTCATCACAGAGGGGAAGAATTGTTGTTTGTATTGAAAAAAAAAATGATTAAATTTCATCAACATCTCAACCCGTCATTAACATTTTAAAAAAAGTTAAAAGTGTCCATTTCATCCCAACCTCCCCTGCAATTTTAAATTTTTTCAATATTTTTTTTTATTGGTAAAGACTGTTCATTTATTTGTGTTTGTAAAATGGGAATCAATTCTTATTTTATTCTTCTATTCGAGTATTTTAATGAATACGAACTGAAGTTTATTTGGAGAAGTTTTCGTCGACTATTTTCAAATATACAATTTTATTAGGAATTAGTGAATTTCAAATTAGATTTAATTGCTACATAAAAAGTAGACGAATGAGAAGTAGACGAATTTTAATATATTCATATTTGATGACTGAAATATTTATTAGTTATAAATATTTCAAAACAGAATTCAATAGTGAAGCGGTGAAACTGTTTAAGTGAATTTAGGCCTCAGGTGAGTTTTTGAGGAATATCTCGGAATACAAGAGAGATAACTAAATTTTCGTAATAACCTTTTTTGTAGAGCGAATTGACGGCTACAAAAAAGGTATTGGCCAATTTTTCTATCTTCCTTACATTCCGAGATATTCATTGAAAACTGGCCAATAGTAAAAATCGGCTAAGTTGAGTTGTGCTTAATCGTCAGTCTACTATTATTAATAATGATTAATCTATAAGTGCAAAAATAACACAGTCTTATGAGAAAATGAACTTCTTGAGGTCAGGGAGACGATTAAAATCTAGGAAAAACCTCGAAAAAGCAGAAAAAAATAAATAAAAATTCAGTAGCGAAGTGGTAAAAGGAGATAAGTCAATTTTGACTATTGACGAGTTGTCAATCAATATCTCGGAATCTAAGGGAAATAGCAAAATTCTTGTTATAACCTTTTTTGGGGGGCCGATTGAGTGCTACAACAAATGTAATTACGAAAATTTCGCTATCTCCCTTAGATTCGGAAATATTCTCCAAAAACTCAACTGGGAGATGTCGACTTATCTCCATTTACCACTTCACTGCTGAATTCTATTCACAATTCGAAAATTATCATCAGTATCAAACTTTTGTAATAAATAATTGGTGTTTCTGCGTAACTAAAAAAAACGTAAAAAACTAATTGACGAAATAATTTGATGTATTAATTTCTCACACTCATCAAAGTTAGAATTCGTGGGAAAAACTACGAATGACGAATGATTTTTTTTTGCATTTTGAATTCATTTTTCCTCGTGATACTCAACGACTCAACTAAAGTGTAGCCACACTCCCTTAAGGATGTACTACACCCATTCGGCCAAAATTCACGTTGTTTTTTATTTTTCTGGCAAATTATTGATCGGATTAACGCGAAATAATATACAGTTTTTGCGTTTTATCATTATTGAGAGACTCACGAAGTTTCATGGTAGTACAATCATTTCCCTGCATTTTTTCTACAATTTTGTGAATTTCCTAAATTTCTAGTTTTGTGAAAAGTTTTAGAAAAAGCAAAAATGCAGGAAAATGATTGCACGATCATAAAATTTCGTGAGCCCACGGAGGAAAAAATTTAATAGCAAAATCTATCGAATTCGTTAGAAAATTCTATTGAATTTCTATTAGTTTTTGACCGATTCTATTAAAATGTTCAATAGAAAATATTCAGTAGAAAAAGTCAATAGAATTCAATTTTTCTGTATAACTTATTCTATTGAGATATTTTCTATAGAATTTCTTCGGCTCAAGTTTTTTCGTTTGATTTTCTTGATGAGAAGAAAAGAAAAATAGAATGCAAAAAACTTGGAAAATTTGAGTCGAGCAAATTCTACAGAAAATATATAAAAAAAATAAGTTGTATAGAAACATCGAATTCTGTTGACTTTTTCTATTGAGCATGTCAATAGAATCAGCCAAAAACTAATAGAAAGTTGAATAAAAATTGAATAGAATTTTCTAACGAATTCCATTGGTTTTTCTATTAACTTTTTTCGTGCGTGGCATTAAGTAATGATAAAACGCAAAAACGGTATATTTTTTCACGTTAATCCGATTAACAATTTACCAGAAAAATTCAAAAAACGTGAATTTTGGTGAGAAAGGTGTAATACATGGTTAAACCACTCGAATTTATAAAAAATAAAAAAAAATTCTCCAGAGCTCTATCTAAAAGAAGAAATCGACACCATAGACGCCAAACAGGAGTCATTAACTCCCCTGCAATTCCACCAAAAATACGTATCAAAAAACCTGCCCCTATTGATAAAGAACGGAGTGTCGAACTGGCCAGCAATGGGCAAGTGGAGCATTGATCACTTCCGGAGGAAAATGCCCGGCAAAAAAATCACAGTGGCGGTCACTCCGAGTGGATATGCCGACGCAATTGCCACCGATGAAGAAGACAACAGAGAATACTTCGTCATGCCTGAGGAGCGGGAAATGACGATGTCGGAGTTCCTCGATGGATTGACGACTCCGAGGGACGACGAAGTATTGTACATTCAGAAGCAGAATTCCAATTTTCAAGAGGAGTTCCACGAGCTGTGGAGGGACGTCGAGGAGCCGAAGTGGATTTCTGAGGCTTTTGGAAAAGATCCCGATGCGATAAATTTCTGGATGGGAGATCAACGAGCCATTACGTCCAGTAAATACTTGAAAAAGATTTTTAGAAATTAAAGTTTTTGCTCAACATTTCAATGGTACTTTTTTATTGAGATGTTTTCTGTAGGAATTCCTGGAGAGAAATTTTCTAATTTTTTGCCACTTTATTTTTCTTCTCTTTTCATTAAACAATTGAATAAAACTCCGAGGTATTTTTTGTAGAGAATATCTAAACAGAATAAGTTTCATAGAAAAACCAAATTCTTTTGATGTTTTCCATAGAATATATTCCGAGTCTAAGTGGATTGCTGAGGCTTTTGGAATATATCCCGATGCGATAAATTTCTGGATGAGAGATCAACGAGCCATTACGTCGAGTAAATACTTGAAAAAGATTTTTTGAAATTAAAGTTTTTGCTCAACATTTCAATGGAACTTTTTTATTGAGTTGTTTTCTGTAGGAATTCCTGGAGAGAAATTTTCTAATTTTTTGCCACTTTATTTTTCCTCTCTTTTCATTAAAAAATTGAATAAAACTCCGAAGTATTCTTTGTAGAGAATATCTAAACAGAATAAGTTTCATAGAAAAACCAAATTCTTTTGATTTTTTCTATATCATATATTCCATTAACAAAAATATAATGAAAACACCAATAGAAATCCAATAGAATTTGCTACCGAATTTCCCAATTCTTCAGAATAGAATTTTTATGACGATGTATTTTGAATTATAGAGCGCTTCGCTTCGGAAGCAAAAATTGTATTATATAAATTTGATTTTTATTTCAGTGCATAAAGATCCATATGAGAATATTTACTGCGTTGTTTCCGGAGAGAAAGAGTTTATTTTACATCCGCCGACAGATTTACCTTGGATTCCATACGGAAAGTACCCCTCAGCTATTTATCGAAGGAAGGACTCCTCTTGGAAAATTGAATCCCTTTGTGATGATGGGGAATTGTTACCCTGGATAGCTATTGATCCGCTGAAACCAGATTACACGAAGTAAATTTTTATTCGTTTGGAATTTCTCTGGAATGATGAATTAAGTCCCGGGTGTACTATCTTTCGAACGTTATCTCGATGTTTTTTTTCATCTTTCGTCATCTGAAATTGTCAATTGAGTCCTGCATCATGCAGAAGTTTTGGAAAATTCTGAATGAATAATCAAAAAAAAGGAGAAGAAATTCTTAATTTTTTCAAAGAGTANTTTCGTCATCTGAAATTGTCAATTGAGTCCTGCATCATGCAGAAGTTTTGGAAAATTCTGAATGAATAATCAAAAAAAAGGAGAAGAAATTCTTAATTTTTTCAAAGAGTATTTTTAATTCAGTAGTGAAGCGGTAAACCGAGTTAAGTCGATTTTGACTATTAGCCAGTTTTTGCTGAATATCTCGGAATCTAAGAGAGATAGCAAAATTTTTCTCATGACTTTTTTTATAACGCTCTCTTGGCTCTACAAAAAAGGTCATGACAAAAATCGTTCTATCTCTTTTAGATTCCGAGATATTCGTCAAAAACTAGGCAATAGTAAAAAACGACTTAACCCGGTTTACCGCTTCGCTACTGAATTTATATTCGTAATAAGTTGAATAACAAGAAATTGAAAAATGTATCTGATTTACGGTGACAAATGGTGACCTGTCACCCAATATCATGCAGGAGGAAGACTGATTTCGTAAATCTTTTCCCAAACTGCACAGAGACATTTATTACGGAAAAGGCTCTGTGAAAAAAGTTGTAATATTTTGGAGAATTTTTTAATCACACTTTTATCACATAAAAAAGGCAGATGACTACATAAAACTGTTTTGAAAATTGAGATACCTAGCTGTCACTTCCCATGAGGAGTTAGTGTTTTGTTATCCACCATGGAAAATGACAGCTAACAGATAATTTGCCACAGCAAATCAGATATTTGTAATTTCCACTTTTTTCAACTCATTCTGAATCTCAATTAAAAACGCTCTTTGAAAAAGTTCAGAATTTTGTTTATTTTTTTTATCATTCTATCATAATTTTTGGCAATTTCTATATGATGTACCACTCAATTGACAATTTTCGATTACGAAAGATAAAAAAAATACAGATAACATTCGAAAGATAATACACACAGGATAGTACACCCGTTAATTTTAAACAATTTTTCAGGTACCCAAAGTATAAAAATGCAATTACAATGAAAGTATCAGTTCAAGCGGGGGACATCCTCTACCTGCCCTCCCTCTGGTTCCACCACGTCCGGCAGTCTCAAGCCTGCATAGCCATCAACTTCTGGTACGATATGGAGTATGACATCAAATATGTGTACTTCAAGGGTCTGGAATTTCTCACGCAATGACTTAGAATTATCTACGTAATCATGGAATAAATGAGAGAGAATTGGTTTTACAAAATTATCGAGTGATGTTTACAAATTAAATTGAAAATGGCAATGTAGCATTGACTGGGAAAACACGTAATAAATTAATTCCATCATGAATGTTGAAAAATATTTTATTCCTTCATAACTCATATATCTTTGGTAACGAGTAAAATTATAAAAATACAACAATCCTAAGAACACTTTAAAAATAATTCAGTAATTGGATACGTCTGATAATAACAGTAATTTCAAAAATAATATAAAAAATAAAAACGAAATGTTCACAAGTTGATATGTCTTGTGCATACAACTCCATAAATTCAAAATTCAAGTGATGAATTAAATTAAAAATAAATTGAAAATGGCAATGTAAAATTGACTGTGAAAAGATATAATAAAGTATTTTCCCTCATGAATATTTAAAAATATTTTATTCCTTCATAATTCATACATTTTTAGTAACGAATAAAATTATAAAAATACAAAAACCATACACTTTAAAAAATAATACACTAATGGGAAAATTCTGATAATAACATAGTAACTAACAAAATACTATAAAAAAATCAAAACGAATTGGTTCACACGTGGGCAATTTTTTTTTCGAAAAACGTTCGCCATAAAGGTTTCTCCCGCCTTCGAAACCTCGTGACTACGCCTCTACCATCGTCTCAGGTACTAATTCACGTCATATGATCGGTTCGGTGGTTTCAGAATTCGGAAATCACTGGGTTAGGATAGAGCTCTGAAATAAAACCCTTTATTCAAGTGAATTCGCCTTTACAGTAGTGAAAAAATGTTAAAGATCATATTCCTCGCGGTTTTCGCCATCGGCACAGGTGAGTTCCCAACAGTTTCCTCAATTCTCCACGAATTCAACCCCTGGGTGCTCCAGGATCTGCTCATCCACTTTTGAATGAGTGGGTGTGGCGATAATAATTAGTTTATCGTCTAAATATTGATGGATATTTATGGTCCATTGTTTTTGGGGTGATCTACAGTTCTGGCCGATGGAGAGCTCATCATTCTTAATAATCCTGCTAGTGTTCAATTCGAGGGGTCGCAGATCATCAACCAGAGCTTCCTGAAGGAAGTTTTCACTGTTGTTCTTGGATACACACCCAAATTAGTAAATAAAACTTGAAAATTATTATTAGGAGAGGGTGGACAACATGGATCTTCTTAAATCCTCAATATCTCATGACTCAAAGATTCGATTTGGAAGAGTCACATCTCATTTTGAAGCCTGCAAAAATACCTTCAAAATAAATAAAAATATATTGAATTCCACTCTGCCAATCCTGAGCTATTGACGATTGAAGATCATCTTATTTCCCTCTCTTTTATTTAATCTGTCTTTTATAAAATTAGTTTATTATCTTTAATATCTTTCTGCTCTCTGCAGACTCAACCGTGGGATGGAGTCACAATCAGAGATCCTTTCGCCCTACCAGAGGCACTCGTGAGCATTGCTATTGAGGGAGTGGAGTCTGTGAAGTCACCCAGGGGTAAACATTTCCCTCTGAATGTCGACGAAGTGGAGGAAACCACTTGGCAGGCTGTCTCTCGTCGTCTGGAGGAACGAGATAATAATAATACTCTCGTTAGGATCTGCGTTGGTGATGGTCTTGATGCTGTGAGTATTTATTAATGAATTTTGTGGGTGTTTTTAAAAAAATTTCAACAAGTGCAGACTTGTTTGAAATGATATTTGAAGCGTTTCTCTTAAACTCTTCCTTGTAAAGATATTCACATGAGCATTTCAGAATTAATTTGAACTCATGTTTTTCCACTTAAGATTCGATTCAAATCATTTTTCAAATATTTAGTAAAATATTAGCTCTGCGGAAATATTTCAGAAGTCGTTTCTTCTATAATAAAGATTGTGAGTAGGAGAGAATGGGGTAAAATGGATACTTTTGACTTTTTTAAATTTTAATGACAGGTTGAATTGTTGGTGACATGTTTTTTTTTTATTTTTCAATAAAAAGAAGGATTCTTTCCCTTTGTGTTGAGCCTAAACTGATTTCCATTGATGAATCTGTCTCTGAGTTATAAATATTTCTTTAAATATCAAAGGTGTCCATTTTACCCCATCCTCCCCTATTTATTAGTGGATTTTGTGAATGTTTTTCAAAATTTTTCGAAATTTACAGACTGATATTTTAAATTATACTTGAAGCATTTTTTTAACTCTTCCTTGTAAAGATATTCACATGAGCATTTCAGAATTAATTTCAACTCGTCTCCGTCCACTCACGATTCGATTCAAATCATGTTCCAAATATTTTGTAAAATATTAGCTCTACAGAAATATTTCAGAAATCGTTTCTTTTAAAATAAAGATTGTGAGTATTTATTAGTGGATTTTGTGAATGTTTTTCAAAAATTTTCGAAATTTACAGACTGATATTTCAAATGATACTTGAAGCATTTTTTTAAAACTCTTCCTTGTGAAGATATTAACATGAGCAGTTCAGAATTAATTTGAACTCTTCTCCTTCCACTCAGGCGTCTATTCAAATCATTTTCTACAAATTTAATAAAATATCAGCTCTACAGAAACATTTCTGTTATGAATAGCTAAACTAGGATAACTGAATTTTTGCAGAAATTTTTTCCCAAAGCCAAATCGTGTCCCAATCATTGGTGGAAAGTGATTTACCCAAAAAACGTATTTTCGAAAAAATGTCCTTATCCTAGTTTACACATTCACGACGGAGTTCAGGAGTCGTTTCTTCTAAAACAAAGATTCTTCTTCAAAACAATGTTCTTCATTAGTTTATTTAAATCTTCCTCTCCCAACTAAATTTATCAATTCATTTGAAAATTCTACACAACTTAATTCTCCGAATACTTGAAAACCTGAGAGAAAAAAAAGAATAAAATTCTCCACAAAAAATGCTCTCCTCTAATCATCTCCTTTTGATTAATCTTCCTAACAGTTGGGTCAATCCGCCCTCGGGGAACTCAAGCCAAACCCGGTGGACGCGTCCTCCCTGAAGCACCTTAGCCTCAGCAACGAGGAAGACCAGAAATTCATCGAGGAGCTCCAGCTGCTCCGAGCTATTGCCCAGAAGATTCCCTCGACCGTCACTGCCAACTCCAAGCCAGACGTCTACTGGTTCGTGGTTTCCGGGCTTCGACCAGTGATGGACCTCCACGGGAAGGACTCAGAGGCCACCAAGGAGGCCCTCAAGCTCCTCAACGACGCTGTCAACGACGTCTCCAACGCCTTCACCGACATCTACAACGGCCAGGTCGTCGTCGCAGTCTTCACTAATGATGCCAATAAACTGCGCAACACCAGGTCTGTGGAGTCACGTGTGCGGAGGGAAGAGAAAGCAGGAGAACTCGTAAGTTTTTAGGATTATTTATTGCTTTGACAATATATTTTTACTTCATTCATTGCGGATGATCGAGGAGGCCAGGGGGGAGATGAGAATGCGAAATTGTCTCGTTAATTTGTCATTTTTTATTTAATAATCAATAGTTAATGAGGGGTTTCAGAAGAAAATGTGAAAGGGACTTTTTTGTAGGCAATTTCATTTTTTGAAATTACTCTTTGAAATTAAATTCAATTAATTAATTTCGTAATTAACGAAAATAAGAGGCGAATGCGAAATTATTTCGGAAATTGGCCATTTTTTATTCAATTTTCAATAATTAATGAGTGGTTTCAGAAGAAAATGTGAAAAGGACTTTTTTTGCAGGAAATTGGATTCTTTGAAATTACTTTTTGGACTTGAACTTTATTTCGTTATTTTATTATTTTTTATTCAATTGTCAATAAATAATGAGTGGTTTCCGGAGAAAATGTGAAGGGGACTTTTTTCTCGGAAATTTCATTCTGTGAAACTACTTTTTGGAATTGAATTGTAATTAATTAATTTCATCATTAACGAAAATAAGATGAGAATGAATGATGAAACAATCCCGTTAATTTGTTATTTGTTATTTAATGATCAACTGTTAATGAGTGGTTTCAGGAGAAATTATAAAAGAGTTTTTTTCAGGAAATTTTATTTTTTCAATGTTTTGGGTTTCAATATTAATGTGGAATCACTCGTTAGATAATTGCATAATTAACAAAAATATTGTACTTTCTCATTGAAAAAATTATCTTATGAAATTGTGAATAATGGATTTTTTAATAAGTTTTTTAGGAGGAAATGCCATGTGATAATTTCTTACAGAAAAGATCTTTTTCACATTTTCCTCTAGAATCTTTCCTTATCGAGGTAATTTATCGGTGAGAAATCTCCCATAATTTGCAAGGAATGATCCCAAGAATAAGTAGAAGTAAGATGTACTAATAATAATTAAAATTAATTGCACTTCCCTCAACTCCTGAACAAATCGATAGGAAAATTTGGACGCAGCTGCCCAAAACTTCACCGATACTTTGAATAAAATCGACAAGGTACACTAATAAACCAAAGTAGCGCAGAAACGCGTATGAAAAAATTCAATTCAAAGTCTAGTAAATCGATAATGAGAAATAGAACCCATCGAATTTGCTGGAAAATTCTATTGCCTTTCCATTGGAAATTACGGAATTGCGTCGTGATTTGTTAAGTACTTTAATTGGTCATCAATTTTATATTTTTTTAAAACGGATTTTTAAAAAACAGCCCGATAACATTTCAGCCCGATAATCTACGTGAAAAATCAACATTTGATGCAAAAATCAAATTACAATTGAACTTCGACGAAATTTAAGAAAAATTCGAATAATTGATGTAAAAAAATTAATATTTGATGCACAAAAAAAATAAAATTACAATTGAACGCCGATGAAATTGAAGAAAAATTCCAATAGAAATTCAATAAGATATCTTAGCAAATGCGTTACATTTCCTATTGAATTTTCTCATACCTAAAGTGTTTAGTCTAAAAATCCAGAGAACTAGTTGAAGTGCTGCATGCTTAAACTGCACCGAGTTTACCTAGTAACGCCCTTGTTGAGGTTGAAACATGTACATAAACGGCCCCGTTACTCCTCGAAAAAACCATTTTATAGAGCATACAAAAGCTGGAGAATGATACCGAGGGGCTCGTTGAGCAAATCAACGATGTATTGGAAACAACGACCCGAGACTCTGAGAAATCGACCACTGAGTCTGATTTGAAAGAGCGGAAACACGAGATTCACTCGATGCATAGTAGTGAAAATGATTATGATCCTGGAAAGGTATTGTGCGATGACGAGAACATCCCATCATTTAATTTCCATATTTATTGATTTGGTGGAGACCACGGAGATCCTGTTATGGCGTTACTAGTTTATTTTCCGAAATGCACTTTTATCGTCCTGCTTGGAACAAAATTCCGTTGCTCAATTATTTAGACCTTCTTTTATTTATTTAGGTACTTTGGATGCGAATTTGAGTTTCCTGTTTATTTCGCTGATTATATCTGGAAAAATGACGCATTTGAATGGAATAAAAAAAATCATTTGAAATTTTTCATTTTACTTTAACAGTATTTTCATTTGAAATTAATGAATCATTTATTTCAATGAAAATGATTCAGTGGAATTAATGAAGTAAATATTTCATTTATTTTAAATGAAGGATTATTTGGTGTTAACCAATGAATTCTTGTCATCGTCTCAATAATGATTAAAATTCTGAGGAATAAAGTCGTTATCTGGATGAAGAAAACATTTATATATGTATATTCCAACAAATTATTTTTTAAACTGTCTACTTAATAAAGCGAATATAAATCAAGTTTATTCCATGTGTTCATGTGTTCTTTTGATCCTATAAATGGCCTGCGGGTTGTTGGGTCTGTATAAAGCAATAAATAAATAAATAAATAAATAAAGTTTGAATAGAAGCTTTTTATTCGATCCAAATTGTCAATTTCTCTGGGTGTACAACAATATTTTACGGATTTATTAATTTATTCTGTTGTTAATTAAGTAGTTCATTGACGAGAGGAGGAGATTCCGAAAGATATTTTTTGTGGACAAGAATACTCACGAGATAATCTGTGAAAGTTTTTAGAATCTTCTCCTTTGTCCACTTAAACTACCGAATTTTATTGACTATAACATTAATTTCGGATAATTTTGCTTGCAGCCAATCACGCTGAGACTCTCCAAGAGGTACTCAGCTAATTATCCTGTTATTTTCAACATCTTCCTGTGGTTCGGGGTCGTTTTCTTCTTCTCTCTTCTCGCTATTTGCAGTAAGTAAAATATTCACACAATTCTCATTTTCTCAATAATTGAATAAATAAATGGAATTTAATTAAATTCAATCGAATAAATTAATAATTTGATTATGTCATTTATGAGTGATTATAGTAATATAATCTCTATAATTAAATAATTAAAATAAGCAATTCTGTTTGCTCATTGATTCTAAATTAATTCGACTTAATCTAATTTGATTTTAATTCATGAATTTTTTTCTAGTTGCCATTGCCGGAATGGATCCAGGCCGCGACTCCATAATCTACAGAATGACTTCCAATAGAATGAAGAAAGATAACTAAACTCCAAGTTATCCTCATAACATTAATTATCACCTAACAGTCGACAATGTCATGAAGACATCGCAGTTGCTTGTGTTTGCTGAAAAAAACATACGTTGAGTGTTAAGCACAAGTTCATTGTCGTTGTAAATGCAATATCGAGTATTTTATCGTGTAAATTACCCTGTAGAAACATCATCTATTCAATCAACTGACTAATTTAGAGAAAATATCGTGTGTCGAGGACAGGGCTCAGTGCATTCCTTTATACGAATCGATTATTCAAAATAAGACAGAACGAAGAATTAATAGATTGAGGAGAACCCGCTGATATACATAGCCAAAATTAATTGAACAATTTAAGGTGAATCACGTGGTTGTTAATTAATAAATGAAGAAACCGATAATTCGTTAATGAAACGATAAATAAATTGTTTTTTGTTAAATAGAGAATAATCTCGTTGTGGAAAATGTTAAAAGATATTTTTTGTACGGAATTTCATCAGCTGAAAGAAGATCTTTTGATATTTTCTTTTAAAATCACTTATTTTCAAGATGAATGTCACAGTTTTGTGAGAGATTTATTTAATTACTTCAGTTGTGAAATTATTTCGTTAACGAGTAGATTTAAGGGAAAATGCCAAAAGACATTTTTCGTCCAAAATTTTATCAGCTACAAAAAAGCTATTCTGGCATTTTCTCCCAAAATCACTCGTTTTCGAGATAAATAGGGCTAACTGTCAAGACTTTTTTCTGTTCACTTCACAACTTCACTAATGAATTACTTCAAGCTTTAAATTTAATTGCTACTTAAAATGTTTACTATCTACGTTAAAAAAATAGAAAGAAAGATGTGCATACATGTGTCTAGTGATATGGAGTCACGCTTGAGTGTAAAAATTACTGTATCAATCTGATAATATAGATTACGTTACTTCGAAGGTGAAACCCTCCAGTCGTCGGTGAAATTCCATTATCAATGCTTCATGCTGTAGCAGAATGAATGAACTAGTGGTACTGTTGTTAATTCTCTGTCCACTTGACTCAACAGCATCTTTTGTGTCTGTTTATTTCGGGAGAATAGGAAATCGTAATGTGAATCACTCAGACCCTGTTATTGTTGGGGGCGAGAAGCATGAATGCTACAGGGAGTGCAGAGAGGGAGAGCAGAGGGAGTGTTCTTATAGGTTTCTCTTGAGTCAGTACACTGCCATGAGTTTTGCTTGTGGGGATTGTCCTGTGAAACTGGAGGATTGTTATTCACAGGGGTGCATCACTGCTGGAGGAAACACCAGACCTGTGGCTGTTGCTAATCACATGTTGCCTGGACCCAGTATTCAGGCAAGATGATTTGAGGACTCACTAATAAGAAAGATAAACAGTACTATTTAAACAACACTATTTTTTAACAATAATATTAAACAATGCTGTAAACAATACTATTTTAAGGCCCGGGTGTACTATCTTTCGAATGTTATCTCAATGTTTTTTTTCATCTTTCGTTATCTGAAATTGTCAATTAAGTCCTCCATCATGCACAAGTTTTGAAACATTATGAATGAATAATAAAAAAAAAGTAGAAAAAATTCTTAATTTTTTCAAAGAGCATTTTTAATTTATATTCAGAATAAGTTGAATAACAAGAAATTGAAAAATGTACCTGATTTACGGTGACAAATGGCGGCCTGTCACTCAATATCATGCAGGGGGAAGACTGATTTCGTAAATCTTTTCCCACACTGCACATACATTTATTACGGAAAAGGCTCTTTGAAAAAAGTTGTAATATTTTGGAAAATTTTTTAATCATACTTTTATCACATAAAAATGGCAGATGACTACATACCACTGTTTTGAAAATTGAGATACCTAACTGTCACTTCCCATGAGGAGTTAGTGTTTTGTTATCCACCATGGAAAATGACAGCTAACAGATAATTTGCTACAGCAAATCAGATATTTGTAATTTCAATTTTTTTCAACTCATTCTGAATCTCAATTAAAAACGCTCTTTGAAAAAGTTCACAAGTTTTTCTATTTTTTTTTATCGTTCTATCATAATTTTTGGGAATTTCTACATGATGTACCACTCAATTGACAATTTTGGATTACGAAAGATAAAAAAAATCCAGATAACATTTGAAAGATAGTACACCCGGGCCTTAAAGAATACTATTTTGTTGTCAAATCGCGACGTTTCACTGCCGATTGCAAGCCTGGTATGCAGTTACAATAAACTCTAATAAACTCTGTGTCGAGTATCCGTAAAATATTAATTGATTAAAAATTGCAAAAACCCCAATAACAACACAAGGAACAGCACATGCCAGTCATTACAGCCATGAACTAAAACTCATTCATCCCTCACTAAAATCAATAGATTTGTATATTTTTCCGGAAATTCTTGGTCATTTGTGTCACAATGTGCATTATTAAAAAAATTCTATTGGAGTTTTGCTGAAATTCTATAAAGCAATTCCATTCTTGTTTAGTTCCAATTCTATTGAATATTACACAATTTTAATGCGTCAATTTATGATAAATATTCCGATTTGATAACGAAAAATCAATAGAATTCTTGGTTATAAATTTGCGAAGTTCATTCATGCCCAAGAAACGAAGTAATCGCGGATTGCAGTTGTGTTGAAATTCTATATAATAATTGTATTTTTTTGACGCTACAATTTTATCGCATTTTTTTTCTGCAGAAAATGAATAGAATATTAAAGAAAGTCTCCATTTTTTTTTCATATATGATTCTGTCCTTCAACAAGTAAATTAATTATACTCAGGTATGTGAGGGGGATACAATTCGTGTCCACGTGATGAACGGATTTTCCAGTGAATCAACATCAATTCACTGGCACGGATTGCACCAAGTTGGCACTCAATTGATGGACGGAAGTCCCTTTATCACGCAGTGCCCCATTCTCCCCGGGAACACGTTCGTTTACAGATTCAGGGCCTCGCCTGCTGGGACTCACATCTGGCATGCCCACGTGGCTTTCCAAGACTCTGATGGACTCTACAGTAGCTTGATCGTCAGAAAACCCAATGACCCGTTGCAGAAGTACTACGATTTCGATTTAGCTGAACACGTGATGATCATCTGGCACTGGTTCGACACTGCCACTGCTTTTCGATTGAAAACTGCTCTCGATAAATTCGGTAGTGTTCATGGGTATGGACTCACTATCAATGGTCGTGGGGCCCATATCAAATTTTCGTTATTTGAGGGAGCGTCACACTGGACTCCTAGGGAGATATTTCGTGTTGATGGAGTGAGTCGAGACTTTGTATTTTCTACCGTCTTATGGTGACTAATCGTGGACATTTCGAATTTAGGGGAAACGATACAGATTCAGAGCCATTTTTAATACCGCTATTTACTGTCCAGTACAAGTGTCCATTGATGGCCATAAAATGCTGATTGTTGCGTCGGAAACTGGCATTTTTGATCCAGTAGAAGGTATTTTCATCAATAATAGTATCAACAAATTTTTTTAATGGAAACAATTAGAGGAAACCTCAATTTCATTTGAGGTGAAATTCGGTAAAATTCCCAAAATTACGGAAACTTTGATAAATCGTAGAAAAATGCAGCGAATTTGATAGAAAATTCTATTGGATTTCTACTGAACATCTAAATTCTATGAAATTCCATAAATTACAGAAATTTCAGCAAACCTGAGAAAAAACTAGTGAATTTCGATTTCATACTTCGATGCAACTTTTACTATTGAGACATTTTCTACAGGAATTCCTCGACATGAATTTTCCAGTTTTTTTTCACTTCATTTTCTTTCTCCTTTCATTATAAAAATTTAAAAAAAAGGAAATTTGCGCCGAGGAATTTCCATAGCAAATCTCTCCAGGGATGGCCATCACTATTAAAATAATTAAAAATTTGATTTAATTTAAAAATAATATAATATTAGTTGTTTAAATTTCCGATTGATGATGAATTAAATGTTTGATAATATCGAACTGTAAAGTTTCCATCAAGTGAATATTTCTAATTTCTTAAAAGGGATTATCGATTAACCACATAATCGGCAATCTTCCTACCTGAATTATTGATTAATAGAATAGTTCAAAATTTGAATATTTAAATTGATGATTACTTGAATACTTGAAAGTTTAAGAATGATATTAACTAATTGACGGTTTCAAAATTGAACGGTAATTATGATTTATGAATATGGCTATGTCTGAATCTCCCAATAGAATAATTGTATAGAAGAACCGAATTACATTGATATTTCCTATAGACTATTATTCATTGAACATTTCTATTAAAAATGAAATGTGCCAATAAGCTGCGGAGTTTTTCAATACAATCGGCCAAAAACTAATCGAAGTTTCTGTAGAAATCCAATAGAATTCCCTATTTTTTCTCGGCCGTGCATTCATGAGGATCTTATTTTAGTCGATACATTCATAATGAACGGTGGGGAACGATACGATTTCGTTTTGACAACCGACAAAGCCCCTGGTAATTACTGGATAAGATACAGAACCCTGGGAGATTGTCACAAAGACGACGTGAAGGTCGCCGAGGCCGCAATCCTCCACTACAACGAAGCCCCACAGGAGGAACCGACAGGATCGGTTCAATATGAGGACAATTACAGATCTGGAGTTGTAAGAAATTGAAAAAAAAAATCTGACTTTCCGTGTTCTTCCTTTTGCTTCCGAATGGAATCATTGAAATCGTTCCATTTTTTCATTCTCTAATTTTGCCTGGAAATGATGTGGAATGGTCTGAAATGTAAAAATATTGAATTTAAACGAAGTATAAACCTTTCCAGTTGGTCAATCCACTCTCAATCTCAACGGAAAGCTACGAAAATAATTCATTGATTAGAGTCATCGATCTCAACAATTCAGCGCCTGTTCCTTCACAGCTTTCGTTGACTCCGAATCACACATTTTATTTCAAATTCTCCTTCAACACTTACGGTAATTATAGACAAATTAATTCAATTATTTAATTGTTTCATTAATTTTTTTTACTCGTAATCGCTGAGCGATTATTACTATTATTATTATTATTAATTTAATTAGTTATTTCGAGAAAGCACAGCTGGTACAAATCTCAAATAAATTTTTTCACAATTATTGAGGAATAATTATTGCTCAACAACTGATAATTATTAATTAACAATAATTACGAAGAATATTTATTATTTGAAATAATTATTAATTAGTAATTATTCGTTGATGAAGTTCTGCCACTTGAAAGAATTACGAAAAATCATCTTTTCTATGTTTTTCGAATTCCTTACGCACAGAAAAAAATCACTCGATTGACTTTTCTGAGGGTGTGCATGAGTTCATGTGTGAAAAACTTTCGTAGATAAATTTCGAATTTGATATTAGTTTTTGGTCGATTGTATTGGAGAATTTCGCAGCTTATCTGCACGTCTCTTCAATGGGCAATAAACTGTATAAAAAATTGAAAGAATTTGATTTTTCCATACAACTCATTCGTTTTCAATGAAAAGAGAGGAGAAATGAAGTGGAAAAAACATAGAAAATCGATGTTGAGGAATTTCTATAGAAAATGTCGATGCACTTCTACTGATTTTCTCTATGATACGTAATATAGTATTATTTAATTAGTATTATTTAATATAAATAGTGCATAAAATGTTTTTGGCGAAGGCGAGTTAAAGAACACTTTTCTCACGAGGGTGGAACCCTATTTTTCATCACCATTAGTGGAAAGTGATGATATGAGGCCGTAGAGTATGCATTAAATTTCACTTTACGCACAAGTTATCAAAAATAGTTTCTATTTGACTTGTTTTATTAAAAAACGTGCAATAGAGCTATGGAGTCTTCAGTAGAATCCGCGCAAAAACTAATAGAATGGCCAATAGAAATTCAATAGAAACCCAATAGAATTTTCTATCAAACTCGTCAGATTTTTCTATGAAATTCAGTAGTCAAGTGGTAAAACGGTACAGGTTAATTTTGACTATTAGGCAGTTTTCAATGAATATCTTGGGATCTAAGGGAGGTAGCAAAATTTTTGTTATAACCTTTTTTGTAGAGTCGATTGAGAGCTACAACAAATGTCATTACGCAAATTTCGCTATCTTCCATAGATTCGCAAATATTCCTCAAAAACTCAACTGGGAGATGAGTCGACTTAAACTGTTTTACCACTTCGCTACTGAATTAACTCGCGCCTGAGTTGACCGATTTCTCTCCACCAATTGATCAATCGATCTCCTTCATAGAATCGTACTTCGATCCTGGCCCGTACCCCCAGATCAACGACCTGAGCTTCGAAAATCCGTCAACTCCCCTTCTGTCTCAACGTGAGGACCTCAAGAGCTCGATGTACTGCACCCCCAAAGACCTCAGCAGTCAACAATGCCACTCGGGGTACTGCAGGTGTCCCCTGATCTACCCGATCGAGCATAACGCCCTCGTGGAGATGGTCTTCGTGGACACGAGTGACAACCGAGACCAGGACCACCCGATGCATCTCCATGGACACGACTTCTACGTCGTCTCCATGGAGAATGTGGGGGACAGCGTCTCCTTGGAGGCTGTCAAGCGCCTCAACGAGCTAGGGGAGATCCCCAAGAAGTTCAAGAATCCACCCCTCAAGGACGACATCAGTGTCCCAGTGAAGGGATACGCCGTCATAAGATTCTTCGCTTCAAACCCTGGGTACTGGCTGTTCCACTGTCATCTCGTTAATCACATGGAGATGGGAATGACTTTTGCTATCAAAGTTGGGGAACATTCGGCGATGCCAAGGACCCCGAGGAATTTTCCAAGATGTGGAAATTTCATTCCTGAGGAAGATGTTGACGACCACTCGCGTGCGATTAGTATCAAGCGCTCGTCGAATGCGCTATCATCATTTCTCATTCTTCTCTTTCTCCGCGAATTTCAGTGGTTGTAAATTTCTGGAGGAAGAGAGGCAATATCTCGAGATCCTCAGATACAAAAAAAGTTTTCAAAAAAGAAGTAGTTTTTTTAATGGATTTTAGAACCTTGAATTTCTGATATGCATTTCTCCAGAATCTTAGAGTCGGTTTTTTAATTTTGGAAACAGTAAATGCAGTCAAGGGGAGTTTTTCTTTTCGAATTAATATTGAGAGGGCATAAAATCAAACCCCGAGTCGAAGATCTGGTTCTGATTGGATGTACACAGGTCTTTCAAGATCTCTCCAGACCTAGATGGACCTGGTAAGTCCTAATCAGTTCTGCGACGTACTTTTCCAGAGACCTTTCGAATCCTCAGTTCTTTTCGGTCCTGAGAAGTCCTCCTCGATGCTACCGAGAACGCGTGATTTTACGAGCGGGTGAAGGGGAAGGCATGTATGCGGAGGGTTGAAATTTGTAGCCAACGAGGAGACAGGGTTGCAGAATATATTTTAGCCACCCTCATCTCCCCGTTTGCAGGCGGTGTTTAAATAAAAAACAGTGAACGTTGATTCTGTATTTATTGACCCCCTGATGCCAATGAAACCCTCGGAGGTGACAGAAAAGGGGAAAAAAAAATTTTCATTTTCACGTGGGTCAAGGGTGAAAGTCGATTTTCGCCAAAATTGAATTTTTTCGCCAAGTGAAATTTGATTCTGTATTTTCTAACAATTCTGATG